TCACTCATGATATTGTACAGTTGTTTATTCTGAAACTTAAAAGACATAATTAACTTTCAAATTGAGGAAAGGTTCTTGTAGAAGTTAATTACTGCAAAATCAATTGAATTCTTACTTTTCCTTTATGTTGTTATCTATTGGGTCCTGATTCTCATTTATTTATTTTACACTGTTTTTTATTCTACTCTGCTTCTACAGAGTTATTGAGGCCTAAAATAGAAGACTATTCCCATTTACTCAGAATATACTGAACTTGTTATATTTCCTAAGGTACTCATTAATATGAGGTAAGATGGGAAAAGGTCCTATTCTAGATAAACAGGATTTAGAATTTAATGGCTGTTATGACACATTGCTGTTGATGAATTTTGTTTTATGACATTTAAATGTGTTTATGTGCTAAGTAATCCAAGTGAGGAATAAAGTTGAGCAAATACCAGTAGATTTTTGAAAGGGAGAAAAGAGGCATCCTGGAAAACAGCAATAGAAAGGAATTAATGCCAGACTAATTTAAAGAAGCATGATATTGGGGTTTCTTGGTAACAATTGGAAGGGCATTAACTTTTTCAGGACACTGAGTCAGTGTGGTGTGCTCCTGTCCTGCTGTCTTCTATTCTGAAGACATCCTTGATTTGTTTCACTGTCCTAGGTTTCCTTACTAGTCATTGCCAGTTTTGAGGTGAGGGGAAAATATTAGACTGTGAATATAGATGGTGGTAATAATTTCATGAGTACAGGAAATATAGTGTGTGTGGTGTCCTTTCACACGTGCTTAGAGAAGACTAATACTGCTGAATGTTAGCATGGGGAAAAGAGGACGTTCCATTTGATATATCTTAACATGAGATTGCAGTTTTACACGTGGGAAATTGGTACATAAATACTGATGTTGAAAGTGACAAAATCCAACCAAACTAGCTAGAACAAAAAATGTAATTTATTTGTCATTAACTGAACAACCTAAGGTAAAGCTGGATTCATGAACTTAAGCTTGATTATTTAGAGGTGGCTCCTCTTTAACTTTTGGCTCTGTCTTCAGCTGTATTGGCTTCATTTCCAGAATGTAGGAAAAACTGGCTCCAATCATCGTCATAATCCCAAATCCACTGGTAGAGAGAATCTACATCCCTGTGCTTAAGCAACATCTCAGAATTGTGTCCTCTTGCCTTTGCTTGGCCTGGTCTGAATCATATGTCCATCCCTGTGAGTATCTTGGAGCCAAGGACCATCTCTTAAGTATTTCTGTGTCCTCAATGATTATTAGCACAGGCTGTTGTACAGTTTTGGTAGCCACTCAATATGTGAACGTTATTCCAAACTATAAACCGCTCTTCCAAAAACAACCAGTTTGCATTGTAAGAGTTAGTCTCATATATTCCAGATTTTAATTTCGAAATTTATTTTGCTGCATTAGGTGACTTGTTGGATGCACTGAATATGATTACTAGAATTCAAGAACCAGAGACTTTGTACTTGTGTGTTATCAGGACTCTATTGGAATTTCAGAGTATAATTCAGGAAATAAGAAGCAAGAAAATAACCCAAATCTCATATTGTCTTAACATGATAAGAGATCCATTAAGAGATAAGAGATCTATTGGCAGGAATAGTTTTAATTTCTTTGAATCATACCAAGCAAGAGTGGAAGGTGTGAGGAAAAAATGGAAGACAATTGGAAATGAGAGGATTTGATATTGGAGTATCGTGGCATTACAAAGAGGAGGAACGTTGTCAGTGATGCTAAAATTATTCTTTTACAGTTATGACATATGAATTATGCACAGTATGATCTTTAAACATATGTTGTTTAAAGTTTATTTTATAAGGAAATTTAAAACAAGCGGTATGATGGGGAATGTAAAATTTTTTTAACTCTATTAAGAGAAAAAGTGACCTGAAATAGATTTAATATTTATGTGTTGTGTCAATTACTAATATGTAGTCTTCTGAGTTTAATAAGGAATACAGGGAATCCAAAGACTGGATTTTTCATATGGTAAAGGAAAGTGTACCTAGTTATTCTAAAAAAGAGACTACTCAGCACTTGTCTAATTATGCTTGTCTTATAATGGGAACTTCATTTTCAAAGTTTTTTTCATCTTTTAATTTCTATTGTATGCAAGCTTTGCCCCAACAACTTTTCTTACAGTGTGAAAAGATGAAAGCAAAGGAGATGCAATTATCAATGATTTCACAGAATTTGAGGCATTTCCAATCATGCTTGTTGTTCATTTTGCATAATCTCAAAACTCACTGATGTGAGCCAATTTAAAATGAATTTACTGACTTAAATACAAGATTTTGGAGCTCTAATTGCCTGGGAAACTGTAAGAATGCAGCATTTGAACTCATTGGTTTTAACGTTAAAAGATGTTGTTAAATATTTGAATTAGTCAAGAGAACTCTAGTGTCATTTAAATAAGTGTAATGTTTATAAGAATAGTAAGGTGCAGACTTTTAGGAGACATAATTATGCAATTTTATGGCAGTTTTGGTTATTGTGCATGCATTTAGAATATTTGAATGCTTGGAAACATGTAGCATAAATGATCTATTATATTATTCAAGATGGAGATGTGTGATTTGTAGGAGTAAAAGGTAAGAGGCAGTATGGTGTGGTTATTGGGTGGAGAGTCTGAACGTGAGCTCCTGGATTCAAACCCTGCATAGCCACTCTCTTAGCTGAATAACACTGCATATATTAACGAACCTGTCTGTGCCTTAGTTACCTCAGCTATAAAATGAGGTTAATGATATTCCCGCCTTCTTCATAGAAGTGTTGTGAGGATTAAATGCATCAGTGTTTATAAGGTACCTAAACAGTACTATTAGCATTTGGTGTTATGATTATTTTCTACAGGTCATTACAATTTTCTTTTAGAATGCATGGAATCTTAAAATGCAAAGTCAGAATATGTGGAAAAACATACGAGGAAGTCTGTAGTAAGTTCACACATATAGCATTGAAAAATTCAGTAGTTAACTTAAAGCTACAAATGTGGCCTGTTTTATATCCACTCTAGGACACACTCCTCACACTATTCCTCGCTTTCTAGGACAGTGTTTTTCAAAGTGTGTCCCAAGGATCAACAGGGCTGATTGTAAATGTAGATTCCTGGACTCTACACTAGACCCACTGGATCAGAATTTCCGAAAGTGAGAATGAGCATTTTACCAAATGCCTGAGTTGACTTTTATGCAGGACAGATTATTAGAACTATTCCCATTTGTTCATGATTCTCTCCTCTCATGCTGTAATCTCACTTTCACTCTTTCTCACTTTGAACTTCAGCTGTCTTCTGACTTCACTCAACTCAGGGTTCTATCACATCTGTTCAAGGTCTTTTTCTTTTGAAGTCACAGTAGACCAAAGTTGGACTTTTGCTTTTGCATCCAAGGCCCAGGTTGGTAGCTTCTTACTGCTGCTTTCTGTATCCTCTTTATCCTCCCTGGTTCATTTCTTTAAATCATTCTGGCTATAAAATTCCACAAAAGATCTTCAGTTGGCTTTGGTTTAGATCAAAACTGCTCCCAATTTCCTGTCTTACCCATTCTTTGCGTTTTTTCATTCCCTTTCTCTTATCTTTTTCATTTCCTTTCTTCCCATGAGTATTTCTGGACTAGAAGTTAGGGAAGAGTTTGCAGCTGGTGAAGGAGAACTGTTTTATTTCTAAGTTCCTGAGTCCCACAGCAGGCTTGCTTGGAGGGAAGGGGTAGGTGCAAGAAAAGTTCTAGCCCTCCAGAGTCTCTATCCCTATTGACTTGCATCCCTTTTCTGGACTTCATCTGAACTCTGCATTTCTGTATATGGATTTTGCAATCAGAAGCATGTGGAACATCATTGAGCAATCCCAGATGACATTGTTTGAATCTACTTGACTGAGAAAATTGCATTTAAACCCTAAAATATATCAAGGATTCACGTATTTGGTGATTCCTAAGTGTAAAGTCATGTGTAGCCGTGTGGAAATATCCCATACATAAAAATTTTATTACTGCTTGGCCAAGATAAAGATGAATAGGGAGCATTTTGGCTCATAGAGTGCATAATGCAACTCTCCGTTAAAACACATGAACTTGTTATGTTCGTGTGACTGATCACATAGATCCATTGGAATCTTAATGATCTGTGAAATAAATTGTTCACATTTTTAGAGGTACATCTACATTACAAAACAGCACTGCTTTCAAGAGGCCAATATGCTGTTTTGCTTTTGAACGCACATGAATCACACAGTGCTGAAAGTAGAAACATGTTGATGACTCATAAACACACACATTATGGTAAGAAGAAAACAATAGAAGTTATGGAAAAGAAAGAAATATGAACTTGGCCAAATTTTCTTGTTTTAAAGAAACGTGGGCATTTTCTAAAAAGTGGTATTAGTATTTTAGCTAGTAAAATGGAAAAACTGTAAGTTCTGGAAATGTATCTCTTTTTTGAAAGCCTTAGCAGTTCCTTGCAATAACTAAAAATTAAGTTAAAAATCTCAAATAAGACAAATTTAAGGATAAAGTAGATACCAACCAAGAAATCAATTTAATACTAAAGCTTTAGCTTCAGCTGTTTTAGTTTTGGTTAGTATTTCAGTTTGATTTGGGGAAAAATGTACTTTAATTGAATTTCCATGTCAGTGTTTAGGTTTTTCTTAGAATAAAGTGTGGATGTCAATTAAATTTTAAATAAACTACCTTTAACAAATAAGTTTAACTTATAACTATTATCTTGGCATTTTGTTTCTAAAAATTTAATCTTGATAAAAAATTTAAAATTACTTTATTTTGAAAAGTAGTTACTAATAGTAAAGAGAGAACCATAAGAAGAGACTGTGATTTTGCATCACACATTTGAGTTGGATGGCTTAGTATTTGATGTATTTATGTCTTAGTTGTTTAATGTCTAACTCTTCACCCTGTGTTTATATCTGTAGGTGGCACAATCTAATGAAAATATTTTAGATATGTTTTGTGAATACATTTTTTTCTTTTTTTCTATAGGGATGCCCTCTGCATCTTTATTAGTAAATCTTCTTTCAGCTTTATTCATCCCTCTTGTATTTGGAGAAACAGAAATAAGGTTTGCTGGACAAACAGAGTTTGTTGTTAATGAAACAAGCACAACAGTTATTCGTCTTGTCATTGAAAGGATAGGAGAGCCAACAAATGTTACTGCAATTGTATCGGTAAGATATAATTGTTGTTCTGTTCTTACTGAAATAGATATGAAAATTCTCAGTTTCAATGGCAAGGATTTTCTTTTCTTTTTTTTTCTGTTTGAAATTTTGAGTAGTTTCATTATGATTTGCAGATAACACTATTCATGTTTCTTACAAGTTTATAGAGTAAGGTGGCCATGTGCATTTGTCAATAGTATTTTAAAGACATAGACTGATTATTTTAAAGTGTTCATATATTTATTTTAAAATGAGAACTTTTGGGGGGTGTAATTTGGAATGTAGCTATCTCTGCTTAGACTTAGTTATCTAGAGAAAATATATGGAATATTTTAAAGTAGAAAAATGGCAATAAAAAAACAGTTATGTTGGAGAGATTTTTTTGTGGGAGAAGTTAAGTATATTAACTGAAGTAGAAATTAGGTAGAATTTGTTAAACTATTGATTTACCTTGCACACAGTTTAGTAATTGAATGGATTCTGTGTGCATGTGTATGTGTCTATTTTTAACCAGTAAGTAACATCATATAACCACTAAAGATATTGCCATATTTGAGGCAGAAAGTACTTGAAATTTTTGTTTGCAAAAATACATTTTTAAGAAATAGGTTAAATTATCACATTATAAAACATTGTAAAAACAGAAAAAAAAGAAAAACCACCTATGAAACTAACCCAATGTTATAGTTTCAGGTGTTGCTTTTAGTTTTTCTTTAATTTATGACATGTATATTTATTGAATTTATTTTTACTTCAGGTATTATATATTGTAATCTTTTTCATATAATTTTGATTGTCTCCTAAGAATTTTTACAGGTTGCTCTGTCATTTTCACAACTTTTCTTGATGTTGTTGTCCTCAATTGTTTTTTATTGTGAATGTTACTCTGGTGAAACTGTTGACATAAATGTCGATTTTTTCATATTTTGGCTTGGTAAATATTTTCATAGGTTGGATACTGTGTTTTTCTGTTTGTTTTATTGGCTCTTGATAATACATTGTAAAAGACTGTGCCATTTTCTGTAGTACAGTGAGTACAACTGTTCGAACACCCTTGATGACTTACTTGAATATCTCAAGTATTTAAAACTTAATTTGTATTTATAAATAAGAACTAGAAATCGACTAAAATTTCCCTTTACATGTCCATCATGTTTTATTTGTACTAAATCATATTTTTTTCTAGTAGTTAAATTATTCATTTGAGCTCTTTGATGAAACAAATCTCATTTGGATTTGCATAAGAAATTGCTCCTTTATAATTTCATAATTATTACTCCCCCGAAAATCTTACTAGCAATGGTGGTTTTACAGAATAAGATCTTAGAAAGATAAGGAAAGCCTATAATGACTAAGAAGTTTGGAATGCCAAAAGAATTGAGTCTTTTATTGGAGTTGTTGTGGGAGAATATAAATACAGCTTAAGGCTGAAAGTTTTGGAAAGAGCCATTTCATTGAAATTGATAGGGAAAATAATTGATTTCCCTGACAAGGTTTTTGGCAGGCAACTTTTATCTCTTCTTTTGAGACTTTTGCTACATTTTGTCTTGTTAGGATTGCTGTAGTTCACTCCAGATCAATCAAGAGGCAGAGAAAAAAAATGTACATCATTACTTTCGTATATAATTATTACTTTTTACCATAATTATTTCTTTTCCTTCCACAGCATAAACAAATGTTTTTGTATAGAATCATTTATTTTTGTAATGCTTTTTTCTAGAAATGATTTTAAAATATTTATGTTGGATGTTTTTGTACATCTTATCTGTAAACATCAGTGCCAATTGATTTGTGCTTTTTCTCTTGATTGTTCCAATTAGCATCAGTTTTACTTGTCCTAATACTGTGTTATATTTTGCATTTGATAGCTGTATGGAGAAGACACTGGCGACTTTTTTGACACATATGCTGCAGCTTTTATACCTGCTGGGAAAACAAATAGAACAGTGTACATAGCAGTATGTGATGATGACTTACCAGAGCCTGATGAAACTTTTATATTTCACTTAACATTACAAGTGAGTCCTTCAACCCCCCTTAAACTCATAAAAATCTTGCAACACTTAAAAATCTATTTTTCTAGAGATAAGCCGATTCAGGTGATTGGTGGTGGTTTTCATAGAAGTCAGAATTGACAGCCTCTTCAGCTATCCACAGTCTGGTTATTCCTCAGACAATCTTGTTTACAAGAAAACCTTGTCTTTGGCCCTTTTCTCTTGTATCCCTTCCCCACTACTAGATGCACAAAGAATGACCGTGACTTCTAATTTCAATGGAGAGGGATACAAAAAAGCCGGCATGGAACTGTGAGGTCCCTGTGCCCAAGAATAAAGTCAGAGTACCCTTGGGAAAATACTTGGATAGCCTAAGATTTAATTGAGCTTTATGGCTTGACCTGTTAGGTTGAGGCAATGACTGCTAACACTATTCTAGTTAAATTTTCTGAAAGGCATTGAGAATTTTTTTAGAATAATTGTCAGTATGATTAATTTTTTTTTGAAAATGATACTTGAAATGCCTTTACTTTTTTTTGAAATGTTTTTACTTTTGTAAATTACCCTTTTTTCATATTTCTTTATGTTGCTCTTGAATATCAATGGAAATGTTGCCAAAAACTCTGTCCATTTTTTTTACGACTAATTGCTTTACTATTTTATCTTTAATTTGGCTTTATGATTTATAGAATAACTAATTATCGTTTCAGCACCTTCTATAGCATAAGAAAAAAATCACATTTGAGTAGAATTTCATACTGTGTACTTAATTCTGTTATATTAGTAATGACACTGTAGTAATTATAATATACTTTATAATATAGTATTACTAGCCAGCGAGTACTTATAAATCTACTTTTATATTATTAAGAGACATATTAACGGTTTTCAAAACTTTTTTGAAAAATTCTTGTTTGGGACTTTTTTTGTTGACTAGTGTGAATCTTTTCTTAATCTGTGCATTAAATGTATATTTGTACTTTTATTTATACAAGGGATCTTCAAAAAGTTCATGGAAAGATTAGTATTATATTTTAATTCCATTTTTCTATGAACTTTTTATTTATTAGTTTTTTTTCAATTTTATTTGTATTTATTTTTGTGGGGCACAGTTTGTTATTTCAATGCATATGTTTTACTGTGCAATGAATTTTTTGAAGTACTCTCATATTCTGAATAATTACTTGAAGACAGAAATTCTATTGAAATTATTTTTTCTAATTTTTAATTTATTATTTTATTTTTGGACTTTTATTTTAGAAACCTTCAGCAAATGTGAAGCTTGGATGGCCAAGGACTGTTACTGTGACAATATTATCAAATGACAATGCATTTGGAATTATTTCATTTAATATGGTATAGTTGCAATTTGATGATTCTTGTGGTTGCTAGATAATAGTTTATTGAATTTTTTTGATTATTTTTCATGATGTTACCTAGTGTCATCCTGTTTTTTGATATTTAAGTGTAATTTGTTCTAACTCTATTTCTATTCCACATTCTGTAGGCTGTCCAATTTGTTCTACTTAAGATTTTTGTGTATTGAGGAAGCTTATATGATTGTGGTCATCTCTTGTCCTAATTTATTTATGATGATCAGTCCGCCGACTCATTTGTTACCTCCCTTGGCTGGTCTCCAATTCAGATGTGTAACCCAGTGCCTTTTGCTTGATTTCCTCAAATGCCACTTAAATGAAGCGTTCTCTGTATGCCAGACTCTTCTGAAAATTTGGAATGACTGGTAGATGAGAAAGCATATTTAAAAATACTAAAAAAGTCTATAGTAAGCTTAAAAGTGAATAGCAGACATAGCTCTTCAAAAGAGCTCTTCAGCTCGTCAAAATCCCCATCCTGAGATTTTCCCATTAATATTTTCTGAAGGTTAAAACTCCATCTCATTCCCCTCCATTTTGCTCAGCAGTTTATTTTCTCTCTCCTAACAGTAAATTCCTGTGCTTCTCCTATGTTCAGAGGGTTTTATATTTAGAAACAAACACACAAGACAGGTCTGTGCTTGAGAGAAATTGTTTTCAGCTCTAAAATAAAACAAAATTTATCTTCAATACAATTGGATTTGGCCACTTAGTTTTAGAATACAGTAACCTTCCTGATATGGAATCTTTTTGAATCATGTTACTAATTATCATTAAGGAGATATGATGTTATACTTACCAGCTTTTTATTTCTTTTCCAATTTAGATCACTACACTACATTTGGTAATATTGTATGTGATTTTATTAGTATCTTAACTTATCTTTGAGACAAGGTGGTCTATAGATAAATAACATCCTTATAGTTGCAGTAGATATTTACTAAAAAGGGTATTTGTCTACCCTCAATCTAGTAAATATTTGGTAACCTCCATTATGTTGTCATTTATAAACACTAATTTAATCAATCAATTATTTCTATTTCAATGCTGGGAAATTATTTATTGTGAAGCAGTCTCCCTTAACTGCTTAATTTCTATCAATACTGCTTTCTCTTTGCACTCACTCCCAACTTATCACCCCCTACCTCATACTGACTTGTTTAAAGCTTTGGTCTTTTTTTACCTTTAGGCATTGGTCCCAAGTCCCTGACATGTAGGGTCTTGGTGCTGTCAGGCAGCCTCTGGCAGCCTTTGATTGGGCACCTGCCCCATGTTCTTAAAATTAAACTAAGTAATTGTTGCACTCACAGCAGGTGCTCAACAGGCTGGATTTGGTTTCCAGTCTTGATGAAGATGATATTGGTAATGAAGATGACATTGATGATGGTAATAATAATAGCCAACATTTATTGAGCCCTCAGTTTGCATCAGGTACTGGGAGAGGCACTTTATATGAATTATCTTGTTCAAACCTCATCACAACCCTTTGAGACAGGCATTCCTAGTCCTGTTTATGGACCGGCCTGCTGAGACTTAGTGTCACCTGAGAGTCCACCTAGCAGATGCACGTTTAGCTGCTTTCCCCCTCCTCTTCTGCCCTGAGTTTCATTCAGCCAAACCTTATGTTCAACATTTGGAGTCCTCACTCTTTCTTCTCCTGCAGTGATCATGTCCTGAAAGTCATCAGCAGTCATTTGCTTTTCAGTGACAGGCTGACTGATGTGGTTGGGAGCAGTGGCGCCAGTGAGCTGCTACCTTGGTCTGGAGGCATAACTCATTTCTGTGACCTCCAGGTCCCGTGTGAGCATTTGAGTTTGTCCTCTTTCAACTAGATGACCTTTCAGATTACTCAGCAAAACAGCTTGTTGATGGTAGAACCAGGACAAAAACCTACATCTTATACCTGACTGGTTTTATGTCCCCTTTACAGTATCATCATTAAAATTTCAGCATTTTTATTAGCTGTAGTTAATTGATGCTAGGAAATACTGCATTCTTCTATTACAATGTGGGTTGATTTGTCTGTGGATTTAGTATTTCTAAGGTAACAGTTTTTACTGCCACCTACTTCTGATTGCTCAAGATCTGATTGTCTATCCTTGCTCTTCCCAATAGTCTTCCTCGATCACAGTGAATGAGCTGAGGGACAGAAATGAGTCTGTGCCTCTTATTCTCATCAGGGAAAAGGGAACCTATGGAATGGTCATTGTGACTTTTGAGGTAAGTTTACTCTGGAACATTTAAATGCTAATACTTTTTAGAGTTTATGCCAGATGCCTACAATTTTAAAAATCAAAATATTTTGTATAATCAACTTGACACTTAATAAAAATAAAGAGAAATACTTTTGTTTTGTTATCCAATAAATTTCAATAAATTTTTTTTTTGCTGCTTGCATATACTATACTTATGTGAAACATAACACATTTTAAGTATGGGATAATAAATCACAAAATAGAATAATAATAATAATAATGTTAATTCTATAAAATTCATAGAACTTTATGAAACACTTTTCTTTTTTTTTTTTTGTCCTTTTTGAGACCAGCCAGCCAGTGAGCGCTGTGAGCGCACCGGTCATCCCTATATAGGATCCAAACCCGTGGCGGGAGCGCTGCCGCACTCCCAGCGCCGCACCCTCCCGAGTGCGCCACGGGCTCGGCCCTATGACACACTTTTCAAGGGTATAAATTTTAAAAATACCCATGGGTTACTTGGGCTGATATAAAATTATTTAGTGTGTAGTCTTCCCCCATTTTTTTCAGTACACTTAATGGGTGGTGTTAACAACAGTTGCACTCTGCCCTAGAGGTCCATAGATATCACAGAGGTGCAATGAATAAGACAGGCAATGGGTGATGTGCCTTTCTCAGGTGCTAGCTGTAACCATTCTATTTTATTGCTTACTGACCACGTGCCCACCATTGTGTTGCCACATTGCTCTTCTATGAGACACACATTTAAATTTTCAGATAGTTTTTGTGTTTTATAAGATCCGGAACATGATTAGGAAGTTCTGATACTGGTTTCTATCTTAATTATTAACTGTAATCAATAAAGTGGATACCTGAGTTTATGTAACATAATTCTGTTGAAGCATAGAAGAGTTTTGTTTATGTTCATGGGTATCTGTGTCAGATGGTGATTATGTTAATTACACGAGAACATGAAATAGCATAATGCAGTATGCATGAAAAACATAGTAAAGACCAACTAAATATGCAACAGTCTTGCAAGTTCTACACAGGAAGTCTTGAGCAAGTTTTTATGTATTTAGGAATATGCACTTAGGTAATAAATTTTAAAAAATATTTCTGATAACAAATATGGGAAAACTAGGAAATAATTGGCAATAGAAAGGATTAAGCATCCAGGTTATAATGTTTTCAATTTATCTATGAATGCCTAAAGTTAAATATTTTATTGGATCTGTAGGTTTTTGTTTTGTTTGAATAATTATGAGTAACATTTGTGGAGCATTTCATATTGCCATATACTGTTGTAAGTGCTTTACACTGATTATCACTGCATATAAATAGCAACTCCCAGCACTCTGTCTGCCTCATGCTCATCTTAATTTTTTCTGCATAATACTTACCATCATCTGACACATACACATTTGTTTATCCTTTGTTCCCTTTTATTAAATGTAAAGGCCATATGGAAGGGAATTTGCTCTGCTCACTGCTATATCCTTAGTACCTGAAAGAGGTCAGGCACACAGTATTCAATAAATAATTTTTAGAATAAATGACTTTATTGTATCATCATATACAGCCTGTGAAGTGGAAATTATTATGCTCGTTATAAAGATGAGGAAAATGCACACAGAGTTGTTAAATACCTTGCCTAAGTTCACACAGTCAATGGAAGAACTGGGATTTGATTTCATTACTTGAGGGAATATGCTAATCTTGAATACCCTTCCTCCCAAGAAGAAATATTTATAGAGTTTGTTTGGGGTGAGGGGTTAATATAATGGTTGCAAAAAATAGCTTTTTAGAAACCACATAGTTTTATGTAATTATAGTCAAGATCTATAATTACATTATAGGCTCTTATTATTAATTAGAAGGGTAGACTTACATATAGGTTAGTACAATTGTTGCAAAATATCTTCAAGTAACCTTCAGATTTTTGTAAGCTGACATCATAATAATGCTTTCTCAATCTTGTGAAATACTTTGTATTTATTGATTATACTGTGTGTTTCTTCGTAGGTAGAGGATGGCCCAAATCCCCCTGAAGAAGATTTGAGTCCAGTTAAAGGAAATATCACCTTTCCCCCTGGCAGAGCCACAGTAATTTATAACTTGACAGTACTTGATGATGAGGTGGGATATGTTAATTACTTAAATGGGGCAAGGACTCTGTAACAGACATGTTAGAGAACTTTATGTCAATTATTAAATTGTGCTCCGTATTTGAAATTATTCTAGAACACGGTCCCATGTAAAGTTAGTATATTGTGATCAATTATACTTTAGCAATAAATAGCTGTCTGTTTAATCTTGTTAATATTTACCTTTCTTAATTCACATTGAATTTTACATATAAAAGCTGATGAACCTGAATATAACTGGCGACCACATGTAATATAAAATTTAAGCATTTCGTACACCCTCATGATTGACTTTTGTTAGTGATTTCAGTCTTGAACAAGAACAGTACTACTTACCTAACATAAACATTTTATATAAAGGCAAAGAAAAATTCCACTGCAATTGATATTCTTTTGTCTGGATATTTTAAATGTTCACATTCATACATTTCACACTGAAAGCTACCAAGGATTCAGGTATATGGCACAGCTAGTGTAACTGCTAAGGAAAGAATGAATTTGAACAATATGTGCACGGATGTCCCTTGAGCTAAACAAGAGAAAACATGACTTTTTGTAAAATAATCTAAGCATTGCTAGAAAGAAAAAAAAAAGAATAGCTGAGAATTTATAACCCTCCCTCTACCATCCTACAAAAATTTTGAAACCTAATTTTAAAGAAACCTCAAGAGAAGAAAAAAAATGCATTAGAAGACATTATTAGGAAAGAGTATTTATCTTAAAAAAATGAAATATTTAATAGCGTTGATAACCCTAGCTCATCTGGTCTGGCAGCCAACAAAAACGTTTTGTTTTGAAATTCCAGAACATTGGAAAGGCTATAATTTGGGGGATGATTAATTATACATTTTAATTATAAGTTTAAAAGATCATCAACCAATAACATTTTATTTTTTGAGATAGCTACTTCTGACTATATCAATCTAATTAAACTGGTAAAAACTTATGTCTATTTTGACTACTTAATCTTTAGAGCTACCTAAAGAGTGATCAAGGTTGAAAGACATTGTACCTATACTTCATTACCTGTTCATACCATTGCTTTATTAGCTTTTCCTTCTCTATCTAAAATACATTATCTACCTTTGGAAAATATTTTTGTAAATGGAGACTAAAGGAGTCTCTCTATTTGCTCCCTGCAGTTAAGATTTTTTATTTCTATGTAATTGTATTGAAACATAGTGACTTCTTACACTTTGGTTTCTTTGCAGGTGTTTTGGTTTTTAAAGTTTTACCACTGTTTATATTCCTTTAACAGGTACCAGAAAATGATGAAATATTTTTGATTCAACTGAAAAGTGTAGAAGGAGGAGCTGAGATCAACACCTCAAGGAATTCAGTTGAGATCATCATTAAGAAAAATGATAGTCCTGTGAGATTCCTTCAGAGTGTTTATTTGGTTCCCGAGGAAGACCACATACTCATAATTCCAGTGGTTCGTGGAAAGGATAACAATGGAAATCTGATTGGATGTGATGAATATGAAGTTTCAGTCATTTATGCTGTTATAACTGGGAATTCAACAACACATGCCCACCAAAACTTAGACTTTATTGATCTTCAGCCAAATACGACTATTGTTTTTCCACCTTTTATTCATGAATATCACCTGAAATTTCAAATAATTGATGACACCATACCAGAGATTGCTGAATCATTTCATATTATGTTACTGAAGGATACCTTACAGGGAGATGCTGTGCTAATAGGCCCTTCTGTTGTACAAGTCACCATTAAGGCAAATGACAAACCTTATGGAGTCCTCTCATTCAGCAGTATCTTGTTTGAAAGGACAATTATAATTGATGAAGATACAGTATCAAGGTATGATTTATTTTAAACTTGTTTCTATAATTATTTTAGTATATTATTCCAAAATTTAATTTTTGTGGTTTTGGACACAATGCTGAGCTGTTAAGATTATTTGTCATTTTCTCTATCACGGATTCACTCTTATTTTGAGTGTGATTTAATTATGCCAATGAGTACATATTGTGATAGTTTCTTACAACACAACAACATATCTACTCCATTATACTAAAAACAATTATTCATTGTGATATGGATTCTGCTTTTATCGGTGGTGTCTGGTGGCCAACTTGATATTGGAAAAGCCTGTCTAGGGAAATAGATTGTATTATGTGACTATGTATTTCTTTTAAAAATACTTTAGATTTGAAGAAATTACAGTGGTTAGAAACGGTGGCACCCATGGGAATGTTTCTGTGAACTGGGTGTTGACACGGAACAGCAGTGATCCCTCACCTGTGACAGCAGACATCAGACCAAGTTCTGGAGTTCTCCATTTTGCTCAAGGGCAGATGTTGGCATCAGTTCCTCTCACTGTTGTTAATGATGATCTTCCAGAAGAGGCAGAAGCTTATCTACTTCAACTTCTGCCTCATACCATACGAGGAGGTGCAGAAGTGAGCGAACCTGCGGAGGTAGATCTCTTGTATGCTTTACACATGTGAATATTTGTGCTGTAGGAGAGGCAAAGAATTTCATCAGAAAAACAAAATTTATGTTTAGTTTGATGTGACAGGAAGAATACTTGCTTTGGAAATGATGGTTGTTTCTCTAGCTCAACATTGTGCCTTCTGAATAAATATTTTACTCTTTAACACATTTTACAAACTATGATTTAGGAAAGTTTTCAAATCTATTTTTTGGCTCATCTTTACTTTACAATGTATAAGAAGTGTTTATTTCTAGACATGATGTATAAATAAATATTGAAAATCAGAATAGCCGAGAAAATACAGAGTTTGGTAATCTCAGAGGTGAGAATTCTGCACTTTAATATTTTATTCCTTTATCTGCAGCTTTTGTTCTACATTCAGGATAGTGATGATGTTTATGGTGTAATGTCATTTTTTCCCATGGAAAACCAGAAGATTGAAAGCAGCCCAGGTGAACGATATTTATCCTTGAGTTTTACAAGACTAGGAGGAACTAAAGGAGATGTGAGGATGCTTTATTCTGCACTTTATATTCCCACTGGAGCTGTGGACCCCTTACGAGCAAAAGATGGCATCTTAAATATATCAAGGAAAAATAGCGTCATTTTTCTCGAATCTAAAACCCAACTCACTACAAAATTACCAATAAGAAATGATGCATTCCTTCAAAATGGGGCCCACTTCCTAGTACAGGTACTTTAATGATTAAAATAATCTCAATTTTGGTTAAACTGTATGTGTACTTACCTGTGTGAGAGTTCACTAACTTATCTTGCCCTTGTTACTTTGCCCTCATTTATATTTTGAATTCTACTATTTGTTACTAAAAGTTATTCAGGGAGTACAAAAAGAGACTATGTCTGCTCCTAAGGTATATAACCATAAATAATACAAGGGTTCTACTGAAGTTAGTATTTTAATCAGGTGATATTAAAAGTATACTGGACCTGAAATGCAAATCAGACTAATGGATGAATCATGGAGTAACTTACAAACTATTGAGGAGAGAAGGAGAGAGAGATTCACCATTCTTTTGAGTTGATTTGGGAAAATGTGACACAGGAATGGGGTTTGTAGATAAATATGCTTTTTATAATGGATATTGAGGGAAAGCATTTGAGAAATAAAAAGACAATGTGAAGAAAATTTGTAGATACTTTTAAATGATATTCTCAAAAATCTATTTCTTTGTCTATTAACTGTTTATAGAATCTCTGGACTTTTAACTATTTAATAAGAAATCAGAATTCCATCTTATCTGTTTTATTTAACTTCTGTTAACCAAAACATTTTTATGGTCAAAGTTTAAAATATCTGCCGTTACTTATAGGCACTATTCTTACATTTGCCATGCTTTTGGTATTGGTTGATTTAGAAAATTATGAAGCAATGAAGGATGCTTATCAAATTTTGATTATGTAAATAAATTTAATACAGAATCAGGCAGTATGAATGGATCATTTAAAAAAAGAGTTAAAATCTGTCACCATAAATTTTGCCAACTGAAGTATATATCAAATGAAATGTCGTATTCCATTAATTTCTTTGAATCATGCCACATCTGAATTTGTTCATATTTTTGCCTAGACTTCGTTTCATGATTTATTATTGCTTTCTCTGGAGTTTCTAATTGTCTTCTTTCTATATGCCACCTTCACTTTACTGACATCTTCCAGCTGTCTCACCGTACACATTGAATGTTGAGTTAATCTGTACTAACTGCTTTCTACACTTGTTTCGTCTGGGACAGTTTTTACTAAACTGAATTTTTTTGATCTCTTGCCTTTCTGTTCTTGTATTATGTTTTAGTTTTGTTGTAGTGTATATCTATCCTCAAATACTCATGCAGAAAGGGTACATGCAAGGCAAAGTTTTTGAATCTTTAGCAGCTGAAAATGTGAAATTTTATATACTCAAATTTTATATACTCATATATACTCTCTACCAAGTTTAACTTGGTAGAGATCTCTAGATAAAATAAGGTCTCTTCAGTACTTGGAAGGTATTGTCTTTTAGCTTCCACAGTTGCTGATGAGAAATTCGAAGGGTAGGAAATGATTTATATTTTAGGCAACCTATTCTTTATCTCTGGAAGCTTTTTACAGCTTCTCCTTCTCAGGTGCTCTGAGTTTCACAGGACTGTGCCCCACCTTGTTAGCACTTGGTGGTATGAGCTTTTTCATTCTGAAGACTTGCCTTTCTTTAGCGGAGCCACCGCTTGTGCTTGTGCTGTTTGTGCATTTCATGAGGACTCACTCTTGGCCAATGGGCTTGTGGTTGACCAGTTATGGGGATTAGGATTTGTCGGTATGCAGGGGATGCTTTTTTGTAATATGCCTACCCAGAAGGAGGCCTTTGCCATCTTCTCCAATGTCTTTATCACTAGTGGCAGGAAATTCTGATTTTCATTATTATTATTATTATTATTATTATTATTATTATTATTATTATTATTATTATTATTATTATTATTATTATTATTATTATTATTATTATTATTATTATTATTATTATTATTATTATTATTATTATTATTATTATTATTATTATTATTATTATTATTATTATTATTATTATTATTATTATTTTGTTGTTGTGTCTCCTCCAAGTGGGGAAATTTTGATATGATGTGTGCTTCTGTCATGAGGATAACCTGTCTCTGGAGGACCCTTGAATTTTTCTTGGAATGATGGGTATGCAGAAGACAGCTTTATTCACAATTGTGTCTGTTTCCTCCTGTGGCTAGTGGAATGGTCTTGTGAGATGGCTGACTGGCCAGATGGCAGGGGATCTGGATCTGTGAAATGAATAACAGAAAACAGCCAAGCCCATGACCTGTACCCTGTTGAGCAGGAAGTTAACACAACTAGAATGGTGCCACCAGAACATACTTAGAGATATATTTAGAAATTAAGAAAACACTTTTGTTTGGCTTTATCCAAAAACATGTCATAAACTTGTTTGCTTTTTAAAGTCAATTCTGTTAATGTGGAAATGCATACTAAGTTTGCCAGTTCACACTTATTGTAGCATTTCCCAAACTTGGCAGTTTTCAAGTCTCTGGGATATAACTTGTTGAGTGGCATTTCAGAATTTTTTTTTTTTTTTTTTAAACATGACCGGTAAGGGGATCTTAACCCTTGACTTGGGGTTGTCAGCCCCGCACTCACCCATTGAGCTAACCAGCCACCCTTATATAGGGATCCGAAGCCATGGCCTTGGTGTTGTCAGCACCACACTCTCCCGAGTGAGCCACAGGCCAGCCCAGCATTTCAGAATTTAATGGAGATTATTTGTTTTGTTTTGCTTTTGGTGTCAGTGCTCTCATTTGTCTTTGTTGTTGGTGTCCTCTGAATTCCGAACATTCTCATTAACATATATTTAAGGTGTTTTGTCCCTCATATCTCAGTATTCAGTTCTCCCTTCTGTCCGTCATCCTGTATAGGCTGTGACTCACATGAGAACCAAATTATTAAAACAAATTGAATGAAGCAAGGAATTTACAGTTGCTATTGCTTTCTTGATGCCTGGTCATCCTGGCATTCCTGGAGTAGTTGCAGTGATATGATAGGAGTTTGAGAATTTATAATGCAAAAATGTTGTCTTTGGGTTATGGAGAACTCTTCTGTATCCGTTCTTAGCTTTCTAATTTCTTTTCTCATGATGCCTCAAGAGAAGTTTTTACTGTGGATAGAGACCCCTGTCTCTGTGCTAATATCAGTAACCTTTATATTCAACTTTTAATGTCTTGAAAATATTCAATATCTCTATCAAAGTAGCTGCAGATAATTCCCATGCAAACAAATCTTTATTAAGAAACTTCTGTGAGTCAGATATTATCCTAGCTATTTTACTTCAGTATTCTATGAACACAACAGAATTTACTTTTATGACACTTGAAAACTAAGGAAGAACTCGAATAAGGATTTAATACCTGATTTTTGGTGATCCTGGGTTAGAAAGATGTTTGCATCACTAATTCTAGACTCAATTCTTAATGTATCTCTCTATTCAGTTAAAAAAAACAAAGGTTTTATGGTGCAGACAGTTAATTTAACAGTTGTTTAGGGAGGAAAAAGGCATTATTAGTCACTGACAAAATTCCTTGAGGTTCAGAACAGCTGTAGGCTCTGTAAGGCTGGCTGGAATAAGAAGGTCATGTGGTTTGTATAGTACATAATGGATGAGCAACTCAAGAATAGGAACCATAAGACTGCATGGAAAGTTGAATGAAACTAAAGAAAGGAGAATCTGAGACATGAGCTCCTTATTCTTTAGTAACCCTCTCAGCTAAATACATTAGTCTGAGATACAACTTTTGGCAGGCATGGGTTACTAATGTGCTGTCCCAGTTCAAACTATCTGAAAGCAAAGAATGAGTGTTTATGAATGAATGGAGCAGTTTGATTTAGCAGATGCTTAAGGAACCCAGACAGAAAAGGCCCATGTAAAATTAGCATTTCCTTTTTTATCAGTTCATTTCACAGACTTCTATATCTTCTTTATATTTTTCAAAAATATTATACCTAGAATTAATTCTATAACATTCTGATAAATGTAAGGAAGATACGACTTTTCTTCCTTTCTCTTTGAAAAGTTTTTAGTAAAAATGTACTGTTTCTATCCTTGTTTTAAATGATATTATCAGTTTAGCTCTTTGTGAATATACAGGAATGGGAGTCTTCATTCGCAAATATGTGCTTATTCACATATAACCAGCATATTTCAGAAACATATTTGCCTCCAAACAATGCCTGCCTTTATATTTACATACCATTCAAATATTTGTATTTCATTTATTCTTTGTGCTATTTTGTAAGATAAATACATATATATGTGTACATGTACACGTATTCCTTTTCTCTGGAAAGAATGACAGTTAAGTGAATTTAACTATCTTTACATTTTAGTTATCTTGCAAAGTAAAAACATTATGCTAAAGAATCAGGTTTTATTTTACTTGGCTTAGTCTATGTACCAATACTTGACAAAATTGGTCAATGTAATTGCTTTTTTTTCACTCAAGTGAATATTTACCAAATATGGAATTATTCATGTCTTTCTCTTGTATATGATTTTCAAAGCAAAACATGTGACATTTGAAAAAGGCATTTACTTTTGCCCTTTTAGGTGTTTATTGTTCATTACAAAGTATGAAATTATGTGGGAGATCAGTTCCAGTCCTGTCTGCTTACGGGAAATCAACTTAGATCCCATGTCTCTGCTGGTGGTTACCTAGAGGCATCATTTCAACATTACAGAGCCTAACAGAAGGTTCTATAGAGTGGGAGTTACATAATGTTTCATTAAGTTCAAAACTGTATTTTAACTTAAAATCCCTATGGTTTTGCAGTCCTATAATGGTTACTATTTCTATACTCCTCAAGTGAACACCATGTGGATTGATGAACTGGATTTTGAAAAGTTAGAACATGAGTATTTAAGATGTTGAAGGTTTGTGATATATCAGGATTCCTTTAGAGCTCAGTTTGTGTTGGAGGAATAAATTAACAAATATTCACAAAGCTGCTGCAGTTTTGGGACTATGTCTTTTATGAGAGTACTTCAAAAAGTTCATGGAAAATGGATTTAAAAGATAATACTAATCTTTCCATGAACTTTTTGAAGATTCCTCATATTAGGAAAGTGCTGAGGAGGACACAGACCCACAAGAGCTCTACAGGCCTGTTGGGAAGTAACAGTCTGGATGAGAAACAAGCAATCTGTGAAATTTATAATTAAGTTCTAAGTTCAATGAGGGTAACAGTAGAAGCTCAGAGAGAGGAAGAATAAAGACTGGAGAATCCAAGGAAGTCTTCATGAAAGAGGGAAATTTAGCTTGTCTTTAAGGGTGGGTACATTTTGGACTTGTGAGATGATGAAGGGAGGGCATTTTAAATGAGGAGAGCACCATGAAAAGTTACTCTGGTGGTCATCTTAATTAATTATAGGAACACTATATGTTGTACATACATTCCATTTCTCTGAGTGTAAAGATGCATTGAGTTACAATTGGAGTTCTAAACGGTCTTCTGATACTAGGTTTTGTCTGGCAGAGAAGGGGAGTGGATGATTGATTGGAAGTGGATTGATCAGTGGAAGAGAGGGAGGAGATGTGGACAACTTTCTGATATTTGGCTTTAAGGCCAAGGCAGTTGTATGTCAGTGGCAAGGAGGAAAAAGCAGATGGCAGAGCTAGTGATGGTGGTGGTGAGTGGGCATGGAGTAGAGGTAGTGATTTCTGTTTTAGACATTCTATCTGTAAAGTGACTGTGTGATATTTTTGTGTTGTCCAGTGGTGATTGGTTGTAACAATTTGGAATTTGAGGGAGAAATCCAGAGATTATTAAGAAGAGGGCATGAAACTATAAGATAATGGGTTTAGGAAGAACCCTGGGGAATAATAGTTGAGGAACAGAAAGAGCTCAAGAAGCAAGTACAGGAAAAGGGATGGTGAATGAATGAGGAGGAGAATGAAGTTGCCACACTATTGCTGACAGTTACCCATAATTGTACGTTGGTGTCCCTTGCTATTAAGGCTTTATTTATTTTAATTAAAAAATTTCTGTTCTATCAATTCTTATTGTTTTTGTTTATTTTAGTTGGAAACTGTGCAGTTGGTGAACATAATTCCCCCAATCCCACCTGTAAGTCCCAGATTTGGGAAGATTCGAAATATTTCTTTACTGGTTACTCCGGCCATTGCAAATGGAGAAATTGGCTTTACTAGCAATCTACCAATCATTTTGCATGAACCAGAAGGTTCTTCTGCCGAAGTGGTAAGTAGGCTCTTTCTTATTAATGGGGCCTAATGAGTTTGAGGTAATGTACAGATGCTGTTTTTTTAAGTAGGTTTAGCACTTAGAGTTAACAAATCTTAAGAAGCTTTACCATTTACATCCAACCTTCAATATGTCATTTTACATAAGTAAGTGATGAGTGTGTGATTTTTCCATCCTCTTTTGCTATATTCAGTAGAATAAAATTAGAATTAATTGTTCATAGCAGGAGTAGGATATTTTGATGTGACTGCTTTCAGGTAATGCTATGACATTTGTCACAGTGATACCTGAACATAAACATTTTTATGTAATGGCTATGTCATGGTACCACAGGTGTTCTTGACCAACTCCATCTCTGAGTACTCTGTGTGCTTGCCTTGGGTAGGACTGAGGTGGCTGCCTTGGGTCCTGTGCTTGATGGTGGTAAAGTTGTGGAATGCTGAATCTTAGGAATTTTTTATATATATGTAAATTTTTGCACATACACACACATAAAAGCATATTCACATACATAACACCCCCCACCCCCACCTTGGCTAAATTTTTCCCAAGTCTTCTCTTATCTAGGGGTAGCTCTGTCCTTCATCCTTCCCATTCTCTGAGCCACAATCTGTCCCTGAAACCCTCTCTAAGTCCCTCAAGCATAGATTTGATTTAAATTGGTTTGGAGTTTAGATTGGGAATGAGGGGAATTATTTTTGTTATCAAAGCCTCATGTTAAAATATGGTGACCACAATTTCCTTGGTTGGTCTATTAGATTCTATAAATGGACAGAAAAGCTTTATCTTTCAAGACGGTTTTGGTTTTTTATATTTTTCTTAATATGCTGCTTCCTTCTAAAAACTAAAAAGTATTTAGTTTGTTCTTAAAGAGTGAATTGCTTTTATTTGTTTATCTTATAAAGCTGTAAATTTACCATTTCATATTTCTCCCTTGAGGGAAATTAGCTTTGAGGAAAATTTTGGGCTCCTTGGACCTGCATTCTTCCCCTCTTGAGAAACAGCAGAAAAATTAGGAGTTTCCCTTTGTTCTCATTGTCCCGTATACAGCCTGGGCATACCCACTCCCTCAGGGTGATTTAGGGTCCCAGACCTCTGTTAATTTTTTTTGTCTTTCCTGTGAATCTTACTTTGCTCACTAGTCTTGGGTTCTGACTGTTGCTAGCCAAAGCAGCAGAATGGTTAGTGGTGAACATATCTTGTCTTTTTCAAGATGAGCTATGTTAAAGGGCAAAGAAAAAAGAGGGTACCTCTTTTAGGAGCATAGGAAGAATAGCATATCTACCATTAAGTATTCATTTATATTCTTTGTTTGAAAAAACTTCAATCATGATTTTTAGTGATCCTTTTATCATATGTATTTAAAGTGTACTACACTTGAACAAAACTACCAAATACAATTTGTTTCAGAATTATTATAACTTTCATTTATTTGGCTCGTACTACGGAGAGGCACTGCCCTAGATGCTTTACTTAAATTATCTCTAATCCTCACCACAAACTTGCAAAATAAAGAATCATTAGCTTCATTCCACATAAGAAAATTGAGATCAGAGAGATTAAGTAACTAGCCCAAGGTAACCCAGAGTTATGTTATGAGTATGCCATTTTATTTCTACTGCATTTATTGTACGGTTAGAAACAATGCCTTATTTTGCCCCCTGTCACTTTAGGATGCATTTGCATAATATATAATTTTACAGATTTAATCATAAAATTTTATTTTTCAGTTAATATATTGATAATAATTTAATTATTTTTTCAGAGAACCTGTGATGGAAATTTATTCTTTAGCAGTATTCTATGTTTTTCATGATTCTTTGGCTTTTAAAATATTTGTATTTTTTAATAAGACAAATCCTAGGTTAGACACATTTTTGGGTGAGAATAATTTTGTAGATAAATTTGATTAGGAAAAAAAACAGTTATAATGTAATTATAACTGAAAAATAGTTATGTATGAAATTATTTTCATGTTTAAAGAGAAAGCTTGTTGAATTATTTTTGTCATTTAATAGTTTACTTCTCTGTATAGAATATATATATTCACATAATAATATGTGCACATACTAACTGCAAAACTTATGTAATTTGTAAGCATATGTTTTAGAAGAAATTGTTCTGTTTTTTTCTTTTTATAAGGTATACATTCCTTTACATCGGGATGGAACTGATGGCCAGGCTACTGTCTATTGGAGTTTGAAGCCCTCTGGCTTTAATTCAAAAGCAGTTACTCTGGATGATATAGGTCCCTTTAATGGCTCTGTTTTGTTTTTATCTGGGCAAAGTGACACAACAATAAATATTACTGTCAAAGGTGATGATATACCGGAAATGAATGAAACTGTAACACTTTCTCTAGACAGGTAATAACCTATATAGGTAATGTCTACTAACAGTTATATGTTAGAGTTCTAAATAATTTTGATTTTTGTTTTAATTCTTTTCTACATATAAAGTAAAAAAAAAAAATCAAGTAAATATTGTTATGTTGGCCTTCAGACTTTTCTGTTATTTGTTGACAGCTCTGGTTTGACTGTGAATATTATTCTCTTTTAGAGAACTTTTACTCTGCTAGTCATTGTGAAGAAGCATTACACAATCAAGTAAATATTGTTATGTTGGCCTTCAGACTTTTCTGTTATTTGTTGACAGCTCTGGTTTGACTATGAATATTATTCTCTTTTAGAGAACTTTTACTCTGCTAGTCATTGTGAAGAAGCATTACACAGAGAATTTATGGCAGGTCAGATAAATCTGCAGCATAGCTAATATGTTGCTATATTAAAAAAAATAGGCAGCAACAAATCTAAAATGTTAGGTTAAGCAAACAGCTCTGCTGGCTTCATTTTCAACAGGGCTGAGGATTAGAGCTTTTGTGAGTGAATAAAAAGAAAGCATTAATCTTCATATAATGAAATTCTCTTTTTTACATGGAATGTAAGCATTAAATAATACTAATTTTCCAGGGAACCAAAAATTACACAATTGTAAGGTGTGTACCTTTTCAGTAATAATAAGACTTTACTTAGCATTTCTGAGTGGGTATTTTATATTAAGAAAATATGACAACCTCAAAAACTTTTTTTTCCCAGTAATTCAGAAAATCCTTTCAAAAATGAAAGAAAAAATACTGTGTTTAATTGGTGTTAATGATTTTTTAAGATCAAAACCAAGTTTATCTACTACAGGTCTCTTTATGTTAAAGTTGATACATGTGAGAGAAGGTTACTATGGCTTGAAGGCTTTGCACAAGTCACATTTAGAAACAGTGAAATTCACAGATAAATTCAAGAGATATTTTGTACTATATTATTCAGGACTGAAGTAGTGAAAATTATTTTATTTTTATATCCCTGGGCCGCTCTATATTTTACTATCAGCCCCTTGTAGGTTTTTCCTTGTAGGTGATTTGTCTAAACACATTTTAAAAAACTGATGAGTAGTTGCTTTTTTTATTTTTATGTGAAAGAGAAATATATAATACGGAGAACAAATTATTCAGTGTTCACTGTTCATTTTGTTTGCTTTCTGAACCACATTATGTTTGCTTCCTTTCTTACATAAAAAGTAAAACAAAACAACAGAAAAACCAAGCAAACAACATCGAAAACAACAGCAAAAATCAAATGACATATGGTTTTAATATATATTTTAGATTAAATCTTAAGGAAAGGTATTTCATTTGATTAAAAACCAGTGAAATGTAATGAGATAAAAACTATTTTTGTTTACTTATGTCCTTTTTCTTTAAATTAGGTTTGAGAACCTATTAAATCAGTAGACAATCTTTCTTAAAAAAAAAAACAACTATAGAATAATTAACATTGATTGTTAACCAAAGCTGTAGCAATCCATAGAAATTTTGTTAGCTCAGCTGAGAGTTTCTGCTCTCAACTAAATGTTTAGGAAACGATTTAAATTATACCTCTGCAGATTTATGACTATTCTTTATATTCTTTTAAAATAATCATTTAAAAAATGTTATATAAACATTTTTTTTTGTTTTTATTTGTTTGGTTTTTTTTACTTTTTTTCTCTCTCCTATGGGTGGAAACAATACAAAAGGAAGTACAAATTATAGGGTAGAAAATTACGGAAATTGGTTCTTTTCAAATTAAGGAATTTAGTTCAAATGTATATTAAAATGTTTTAATTCAATTAGTATTTTTTTTTTACTTTTTTTCTCTCTCCTATGGGTGGAAACAATACAAAAGGAAGTACAAATTATAGGGTAGAAAATTACGGAAATTTGTTCTTTTCAAATTAAGGAATTTAGTTCAAATGTATATTAAAATGTTTTAATTCAATTAGTAACTAGTACATACTTGCATTATCTCAATTGTGCATGAACAAGAATGAGGAAATTACATTTGTGTTCAAAGACATATTTAGTTAAATAAGCATGAGAATAAAATGTGCAACTTAAAATAGCATATTTTATCAAAACCTTCCTCTTAATTTTACAAAGTTTTAACAAAACTTAAGTGAAAGAATGGATGAATGCTAGTAGGTGTGATTACAATGAGTCACAACAATATTGCAACAAAAAATAATTAATACTTTATTATGGTACAGTTTACAATTTTCTCAATGTCAAATTCAGATTCTAATTCTCTATATTTCAACTAAATATGGGCAAAAGTTGCTCTGGTACTAAACAATTTATGGTGCTTTCAATATCATAATAGTTAAAAAATACTATTGTTTAACTTTCTTCAAATTAGAAAACAATTTTATTATGCCAGTTTATTTCAGAGTATTTTTGATATGTGTGATATATAACCCCATATTTATAAATGGTATATGTGACTTTAAAAATGAGGCACAAGGGCTGTACATTTTGACATGTGCTTCTTTATTCAAGGATGTTTGAAAATGAAATACATTGGGGATTTGGAAAAGTGTTTCAATTTTCTGATCCAAAGTTGTATTTAGGTAATATTTGTCATAATTAAAAGATATGATGACATAGCTTCTTGAGTATATTGCTACGCAAATGATTAAAAGTATAAATTTCTCTGCTTTTGGGGTTTTGTTTTTTCTAACTCAAAGAACAACTGGCTTTAGATCTGAGGATGGAGGTTTTAATTTTTTTTCTAAACCTAATTAAAGCTACTAAGTAATTATATGTAGGGCTGAATGAAATTTGCTCAGCTGCTGCAGTTTTTGAGCATGTACAGTGCTTGGCAGGCATGACGCCTTGGAGGAGGCCAGGAAAGGAATGTCTTCAATGAGTCCTGACATGCTGGCTGCCCATGGGGTCATATTCCGTAAGTGGGAACCGCCGAACCTCTTGCTAGCATTTGTCAATAGCAAAGAATCCAGTGGGCAGAGTTCCCATAAAGTGAACGTGACTAGCTCTTGGGAAAAGAAGAAAGACTTTCTTCAGCTTATTTTTACCCTGCCATTCTATGTTTCTAGCAGTATTAGTGAGATTTTGGCAAATGGTGCCCCCACCTCTTTTTCCTCTCTCCCACACTTCTTTCTGTGTTGACAGGGTAGAAACTGAAAGGTTTGTGGTGTATTTTGGGTAAGTGTGCAAAATAATGCCTTGTTTTTGGTGATTCAACTTTTTGCTTTGCAAGTTATTTTATTGGACAGGCTGCTCTTCTGCATGGTCACAGGTCTTGAGAAATTTCGCTTGTCCACTTGGCTATGCATGCTTTGTGTGTAGTTTCATTTTCTAATGATAAGCAGAGCTTTATTTTTTGGTCCTAAGGCTTTTCAATTATAAATGCATTAAAATACTTGATAAAAAGTTTGAGAATTAGTGTAACAATGTTTTGAATAAAATTTAACTTTTCTTATAGTTTATTCTAGAAAACAATTATCGTGCCTTACTTGTAAAATTCTTTCCCAGCATCTTTTATGAATCTTGTAGTTTTTTTAATGGAAAATTAGCAATCAACAATATTAACTTTTCCATTGGTTTTCTTAGTATGTCTAAGCAATTTCCTGCCTACATCTCAGTGTTATATGCAGAACTTTTCAGAATTTGCATTTTACATAAGGGTAGAATATTTTCAGACAGTTTAAAAATAAAATTCATTTGTTTAATGCTCAGAATGGATTTTTATATATTTTTTTTGTCTTTTTGTCTTTTTCCGTGTCCGGCAACGGATCGCAACCCTCAGTGTTGCCCCCGTACCGGACCGGGGACTGGGACCGGGTACCGGCAACGGGATTGCAACCCTCGGTGTTGCTCCCGCCCCTCGCTCAGCCAGTGAGTGGGAACCGGTCTGTATGTGGGATCTGAACCCTCGGGCGGGAGCGCCGCCGCGCTTCCCAAGCGGCGCACTTATCCAGTGCGCCACCGGGCCGGCCCTGGATTTTTATATTTTACATTCTGATCCAGTTTTTAAATCTTCTAGCTCATGTGAACATAGGAAATTTTAATTTTTGAAGATATTGATATAAATGAAATATGAGAAATTTGCTATGAAAATCATGTGATTGCATTAACAATATAATAAATAATTCATATTATTTGAACTCTCTTTTCTGTGGCCACTAGCGTGCTTGGTATTCATTGTAAGATTTCCAAAAGCTAGGGAAGGATGTTAATTCAATGAGCTGTCCTTTCTGTATACTTCTACTTACTAATCATGGTTTCATTGTGATTTTAAGGTCGGATCATGAATACTTATTGGTTCAATAGCAAGTGACATTTGGAAAGGTTTAGAGCAGCTTGCAGGATTGAGAATTCTTAAGAGCCTGCTGGCTTTTAAACCCTTAAAGCCTTCAGTGCAAGTCCCTTTGATCATTCTAATTATACACTGAGTATAAAACCAGAAATTAAAAAAAATTTTTTTAATATGTTCTTTTGAGATATATATTTAGAAATTATTATAACATGTCATGCATCTCAGATCCATTCTATTCCTTTTTTTTCTTATATGTCCTACATTTTCTTTTATACCAAGAGAAAAAAAAAGGCACAAGGTTAAAATTGAGGTGAATAAAAAGCATTTAAAAGCAAAAGTATCCCTGAAATCTAATCATAATTGTGTTTATTTTTTATTAGTGTGGCTTGCTTTAGTCCGTATAGTTATCCAAATTTTATGTATCGTTATTCAGCTAGTATAAGCTTATGTAATGAGTTTTTAAAAAGAAATTCAAGTGCAAGTAAAAATTAGAATATGATTTTGTTTAAATGTATTTCCTTACTACATGTTATAAATTAAATTTTTCTAAAGTTGGAATCCAATCTCTAAATTTTGATACTTTATATAAATAAAACATATTTATAACCTGTGATTATTGTATTCTTGGTATGTATATACCATGTTTGGTTTAAGTCAAATAAAAAAAGCATATAATGAATTCAGAAATAGAAGTTCTCCATAACTGTTCTGACTAAAGCTGTTTTGATCTTAAGTGATTTTAATTAACATAAGTTCACTTTAATTACTAATTCCTAATAATCTTTTTTTCCCATTATCTGGAAGAGTTGTAAATATTGCCTTAGAAACCTGCAAAATTCAGAAGACTATAGGTAGTGGGTACCTTTTTTCCTTTTGACCTCTCCAGGGCTAATGTGGAAAATCAAGTGCTGAAATCTGGATATACTAGCCGTAACTTAATTATTTTGGAAAATGATGATCCTGGGGGAGTTTTTGAATTTTCTCCTGATTCCAAAGGTCCCTACCTTATAGAAGTAAGTATGAAAGAAACTTTAATCCATTTGTGCTCATACCTTCAGAAAAATGATCTTGAAGGATTTGAACTTCTGTGGATTTTTTTTTTTTTTTAAAGGAAGGAGAATCTGTAGAGCTCCACATCATCCGGTCCAGGGGGGCTCTCATTAAGCAGTTTCTACACTACCGAGTAGAACCAAGAGATAGCAACGAATTCTATGGAAATACGGGAGTGTTAGAGTTTAAACCTGGGGAAAGAGAGATAGTGATCACCTTGCTAGCAAGATTGGATGGGATACCAGAGGTAAAGGATTCTATTTTTTTCCTTGTGCTTTTGTGTAAGGTTGATAGTATGTGGCATATTATGAATATAAACATTTTGAACATTGGCAAGGAGACAAAGAAAGGAAGGGGGCAAGAAAGGATTGAGAAGTACTTATGTTTGGAAAAATAAAAACAAGCTTTAAAAACCTTGTTCAGAATAGAATAGTATATTTTTGTCCTATGTTAAGAAATACCAGACAACCTGAAACTTTCAGTGTGTGATCAGTTTTCATCTTTTAGCTTTATTTATGCTGAGCTTTATTTTATGTGACCTGTATTGACTGAAGTTTTAATGATGTGGTTCTGCTGTAAGATTACTTTTTTTTTAAGGAAATAAATGTAAGTTTTATATTAGTGGAACTAGGTGTAGTTTCATTATGTTTATACAACAGTGCATGTGTAGCTTTTAAATTAACTTTATTTACTCTTATTAGTTTAAATGCCTAGATCACCAATGATAACATCTAATCTTCTTACCATTTTAGAGTAATTATCATTGTTTATTTTTGCTCTTTTTGGACAATGTATACTTATCTCTGGTATCTCTCTTACTTGATAGGAGCATGTTAAAAAATTTTTAGGAATAATATCGGCTCTTTTGTCCTTTCAGTGAGTTGTGTGTTTCTGAAAAATTGAATGTATTAATATTCTTGACTATATATGTTTTGTATTTGCTGTAAAAATGTCCTAATTTAATCTGTTTGTTTTAGCTGGATGAGAACTATTGGGTGGTCCTCAGCAGCCATGGTGAATGGGAAAGCAAGTTGGGAAGTACTACAGTTGTCAACATAACAATTCTAAAAAATGATGATCCTCATGGGATTATAGAATTTATTTCTGATGGTCTGATTGTGATGATAAATGAAAGCAAAGGAGATGATATCTATAGAGGTAATTTATTCTGTCTAATATTCTATTTCTATTTACTGAAGAGAAAATATAATCAATTTTTAGTGTATTTCTTTATTAACTAGTTATTTTCAGTTGCCTATTTTGCCATAGAAACTACATATAGTGCAGAAATTGGTCTTTTCAAAAATCATATTCAGGATCACTGTTTTTATTTCTTACGCAGTATTGTGATGACACCGATGACTTCAGTTATATTTTGATTTCAATTAACCATATGCAGAGCAACTTGAATACTAAGGAATGAGTCAAATCAAATCAGGAAAACTTTAGAACTGAGAGTTACTGCTAGGGCACTTTTGCAGTGACAGGAAATGAGAAATATTTTATTTTTAGAGCCGTGTCTGTCTGGTGAGAAAATAGCTCCTGAGTATGCAGCTTCCTCTAACTGCCTTTAGCAGATATCCCTATAAGACTTTATGATAGGTGTACCTAAGAATCACTATTCTGTTTCCTATGCTGACTGACTTTTAAAATCCCAACCTGTGATAGAAAAGATTGAGTCCATATGTTTTATAAATTGTATACCTACAGAGGGAGGAATAGGCTAATTTTTTTTATATGGACCTTGGAGGCTGTGCCAAGCAAATAATTGGCTTTTATTAAAAAGAGGTGTTATTTTTACTTTTGTTTATTTGAGCAATTTCTTTACTCATCATTTTAAAGTTGTTTGGTATATATTCATATATTGTACTTACTTGTTTTTCACAGCTGTCTATGGTGTAATAAGAAATCGAGGCAACTTTGGTGATGTTTCTGTATCATGGGTGGTTAGTCCAGACTTTACACAAGATGTATTTCCTGTGCGAGGGACTATTTTCTTTGAAGATGAGGAATTTTCAAAAAATATCACCATTTACTCCCTTCCAGATGAGGTAAAGCAAGTTGCATATATAACTCTGCTTTACTTGTTGTAGTTGCCCAATAATTATTTTTTATTAAATAATTAAACATCTGGTAATATATTTTGTGATGAAAGTATGTAATAAGAGAACTCTGGTATGACAATGTCTGATCATAAGCCATTTATAGTAAAATTATTTTTTGGTTCCCTTGAAGTCATATTAAATTTATCTCTTAGCACTGACAATGGTCAGTAACACTGTTCATGTGTTAAATGTCAGGGATTTGTGGTTGTGGGAGAGGTTAAGCTCTTGGCTTGCACTTAGGCCCTTTGAAGACAAGGTCAGCTACCGGCTATGCTATGGTGCACCCTCAGAATCAGGACGCAGGGCCACATGGATTGTGGATCCAACATGGTGTTTCTCCTTACTGATAGTAAAGAGAAAGAATTTAGTAACAATGGGAGTGAACCTTTCTGAGAGGAGCTACGCTTAGAACAGCTCTGAAAGTCTTTCCCCTTTTCTCCAGGCCATCTCTCAGGAGACAAAATTCCAACACTTTTCTGTTGTAGGGGGAGTAGAGGACCAGCTGACATGGATGATGTGAAAGAGAAACAGTGTCCACCTGGGATTTCATTTAGACCTGAGATGTGGGGAATCTCATCTTGTTAGGACACAGGAGTGAGGTCTTTATGATCCACTCGGGTGAAAGCTCAGTAAGGTTTGTGAGAGGCCTTTGAGAGCTGGTTGAGCTTTAATGACTATTATGAACTTTATTCAAGATAGGTCAAAAGGTTATTTTTCTGTTTCATTTTTTTAATAAACATCTTTCTTATTTTTTTACAGAAATAATATGAACTATGTGGTATATCTACTTTTAACTTATGTAAGGCAAAATATATCTATATTTCCATTACATTTTAGTCATTCAAAATAAAGTCGCTGTTTGGATGAATGCACATTAAAATAATTTTGGGGGGGTTCTGAGTCTTACTTGAATACTTTAGGGAGGTCTGCTTCAGAAAAGGAAATGAACATTATACTATAAATAGAGCTTTTCTAAAAAAATAAACCAATAATTTAGAAATATATAATGTAATTACGTGTATTAATCACCTGACTTAAAGCATGTAACATTTTCCAAAAGATTCCAGAGGAAGTGGAAGAGTTTACCATTATCCTAGTTAATGCCACTGGAGGAGCTAAAGTGGGAAATAAAACAACAGCAACTCTGAGGATTACCAGAAATGATGATCCCATTTATTTTGCAGGTGGTATTGCTATCTTATGTGAGTGAGTTTACATCTTTCCTAAACAGAATATATATATTTTAAATTTTTTCAGCTGAACATTTTTAATAAAGCACAGCTGATGCTTATTTAAATATGATTTCATGATTCAGTCCATGATGGTTATTCATTCTGTTTGTAGTGTTAACAAATATTTTTAAAGATCTTCTGAAGCAAGAAGAAAAATAAAATAAGTACTGTTTTATTAACTTTATCTCCCCCTTTCAAATTCCATGGAATTTTTGTGCAGAAAAGAATACTCCTTTATGTGTTCTCTTCCAGTGTGCAGTCTAGCCAGTTCAGGGCCTGGGCATTGTACCTAACGGATGGCCGCTTGCTATAATAATTAATTTTTAATGGTCATATTAATTGAAGTTGATCTACTTTTGCCACTTTAGTGCTTTCTTTAGAACTATATTTTGCCACCTGAGGCATCTTTTAATTTATGGAACTTTATTGATGCCTATTTCTTTCTTGAATCTTTTTTGTAAGCTGTATATAGGTCAATTTACTTATATACAGCAGAAATCTCTTCAACCTCTTGAATTTTCTTGATTTGTATTCTTAATCTTCAGTTAATATGTATTTAATGAATTCATCTTATGCTCAGCTTTCTGGTAACTGCTATGGCAAAAATAAAGCATAAGATATCTGGGCCTGTTTTCAAGGAATTTACAGCCTCAACTTGGAAATGAGGTATTTGAAGCAGTAGGCAGAGGATTTTTAAACAGTATGCAGTTTACTGACAGATTGGGTGTTGAAGACAATGGATTCTGTAGAAATTAAGGCAAGAGGAAGGCCATTGACTGTTTAGGTAATCAGAAGGAGCCTCATGTAGGGGTTGGGAACAGAGCTGATTCTTTAAGCAAAGACATAGTAGAGGGAATTTCGTGTGGAGGGCTGGGAGAAACATTAAGTGGTCTGAAAATATGTAGATGGAATCAGAGAAGCTTACATGTTTCTTCTTCATGGATATTTCAGAACCTCGTGTAGTGAAGGTTCAGGAAGGTGAGACTGCTAACTTTACAGTTCTCAGAAACGGATCTGTTGATTTTACCTGCACTGTCCAATACGCTACGATGGATGGGAAGGCTACTGCAAGAGAGGGCGACTTTGTTCCTGTTGAAAAAGGAGAAATGCTTGTTTTTGAGGTTGGAAGTAGAGAGCAGAACTTATCTGTTTTTGTTAATGAAGATGGTATCCCAGAAACAGATGAACCCTTTTATATAATCCTCTTTAATTCAACAGGTAAATAAATTACGTATTTATGGCAGATCTGTTGTTTCAGTGCTTTATTAAGATGACATTAAGTACTACTGTCCAGTAGTGGTGCCAAGTAGTAATTAACTATCTTCTGTGACTATTCAAGAGCAAAATTTTTTTTGTTTTCATAGCTGTATTGGGGGTGAAGGATATATGTGTTGAATCTTCATGTACCTGGTTTACTTTACAGCATTATTTTTAACCTTTTTTTTTCACAATATGACACAAATAGAAAATTCTGATATTACATAAGGAATAAAATTCTTAAACGTGTAAAAACAATGAGCCTTGGGAATATGGCTGCTTTAGGCCTTGCATAGTCACCCAGTGACTTAAGGGATCAGTCTCTTGTGACACATTTTCCCCAGAGCAGGGTGCTAGCACACTTGGTTGGGAAGCTTAGTTCTGTAGGCACCTGACCCCAACTGGCTGTTTGATAATTCTGTGGACCTATAGCCCAAAAGAATGACAGTCTGCAATGAGAAAAGATTGACTTTTCTTTCTTCTCAATACTACAAATGAAGCAGGATGTTTTGACCCCTCTGTTGGGGCCCTGAGAATGTTTTGACCCCACCTTTAGAAAATTGGAAGGATGGTAGCTTCTCTTGATATTTATTTTATTCTTAAGAGTACAAATAGATTTTTTCCTCCCCTGAAACTTTTGAGAGTAAATTAAAGAATGATGCCCTATTACTTCTGAATACATTAATGTGTGTTTTCTATGATCTAGAACATTCTCCTATACATAACCAAAATATAGCCATCAAAATCAGGAAGTTAACATTGCTTCAGACCCCATTCAGAGTTCCTGAGTTGTCCCAATAATGTCCTTTCTAGGGCCGGCCCGGTGGCGCACTGCTACAGTGCGCCGCTTGGGAAGTGCGGCGGTGCTCCCGCTGAGGGTTCGGATCCCACATACAGACTGGCCGCTCACTGGCTGAGCGAGGTGCGGGAGCAACACCGAGGGTTGCGATCCCGTGGCCGGTCCCGGTCTGGTCCGGGCGCGACATTGAGGGTTGCGATCCGTTGCCGGTCACGAAAAAAGACAAAAAGGAAAAAAATAAAAATAAAAATAATGTCCTTTCTAGCAAAATGACCCTTTCCCAAATCATGCATTATTGCATTTAATTGTCATGTCCCTTTAATCTCTTCAATCTGGAGTAGTTCCCCAGTCTTTCCTTGACTTTCATGACCTTGGCAATATAGATTACAAGGTAGAATGTCTCTCATCTGGGGTTTGTTTGATGTTTCCTCATTATTAGATTCAGGTTTTGCATCCCTAGAAGGAATTTCATAGAAGTGATTCTGTGTTCTCAGCATATCCCTTCAGTTGTCACATAATTTTGATTTTTTTCAAAATTTATTGTGATATTCCCTTTATCCTAATACTCACTTTGACCATGATCAAGGTTGTGACTGCCAGGCTTCTCTACTGTACTTTTTTCTCATTGTAATTAATAAGTATTCTGTGTGGAGGTACTTGGAAACTATATAAATATCCTGTTACTTGTAAAACTTTCAGTTTTTCACTGATATATTTATCAGTGTGGACTCATGATCTCTACTTAATGCAGTGGGTTATATTTTGCTGTCATTATTTATTCTGATGGTCTTATTGTCCTAGATTTCACCAGTGGTAACCTATTTAGGAGGACTTTGTCTTTTTGACATGTCCCTCCTATTCTTTGAGCATTTTCTTAGTTCTTGGCACAGCAGGCTGTTTGGAGCTCATTTTGTATTTTTCCAAATACAACCACGAAAACAGCCATGTCTCCAAGAAGCCATGGTTCCTTTTAGTGAAGAAAGTTATTTAGTAACCAAGATCTGGGCAATAGGTGGCTTATTGTTATTGAGGTTTTACTTTTCCTAGGCTCTCTTAGTGTAAAGAGACAGAGAACATATGTGTATATGTATGTATGTACATGTATGCACACACACACTTTTACATGTGTAGTTCTGCATCTAGTTATGTATGTTGAAAACCATTACTTCACAATAATATCTCATTCCTATCCAGCATCACAGGGTTCTTTCTAGTTTTCTCTCTTTCTGTATTTGTTATTTCCTTCTTCAAGAGTGAGAAATTCATCTCCCATTATCTTTAATAAGAGTGAGTGGAAAGTGAAAACTTTTCAAAGAGAGGTTTACTTAGTTTATTTTGTAAAATGTGTCATTGGGGAAATATATATTTGATTTTGAGAGAGAGAGATATGTACAGAGAGAGAGAGTGAGAGAGAGAGAGAGAGAGAGAGAGAGAGAGAGAGAGAGAGAGAGAGATTGGGGAAATATATATTTGATTTTGAGAGAGAGAGATATGTACAGAGAGAGAGTGAGAGAGAGAGAGAGAGAAGGCAGGAGGAGGGAGCACACAGATGTGACTGGGGTACTGGCCTGAGGTGTGTGTCTTACCTCATACTGCCTCTGCGTTTGTCTTTTAACATTTTTCCAGAAATAGTGGCATCCGAGAGTGTAATGACTTTAGCTATGCTGGCAGGCGTGTTCATGCCTGATAGTTATTATTCACAGTGTACACCCTGATGTTGGATCAAGGGACATGGCCATCCTTAGAGCCCTTGTTAAATATTGTCAGCTCATCTTGCAGAGAAACAATGAATTTTTAGTACCAACTGGGACGTGTTGTATTACAGATGCACATGGTAGCAGAACCCTGCCAAAATTAGGCTTTATTTTTATTGATTTTTGTTACATTTTATAATGTGATATTTCTTTTATTATTCTTTATTGTCAGCATTTTCTACACAATGATTTTCTATTTTTTTGTCTTTTTTTCCTCTTCATTGGCTAATTACCAAGTGAGGTTGAGTACAGTTGTATATTTATATAAATTGTTTTCTGATGTGCTGGTTTGTTACATATAATCATAATTTATTTGTATATTTGTTGTATGTGTTGTCTTCATCTAATTTTGAAAGTTTTATTTGCATCAGTTCTGCAGTAAATAAATTCTATGCACCAATTACTGAGCGCCTGTTCTCTTAGAGCATGGAATTGAGTAAGAATCATTTGTCCAAGGAGCTTGCAGTAAAATTGTATGTGTGTGTGTAGTGATATAAGGTGATAGTTGCTGTGATAGACTGACAAAGTGCAAAGTGCTGTGGGAACATAGCGGAGAGTCACTTAGCTTAACAGGGGGATTTAAGGAAGAACTCCTGGAAGAATAGAACTAGGTTCTAGTCAGATGAGTGAAGATGGGAAGGACTTTTGCTCACATGGGAAATGGCTGGAGTACAGAAGAAGAGATAGAGACCTCAGGAAGGTGATAAGAAGAGACTTAATAAACAGGCAAAAACAGTACCAACATGCTGAGTGAAGAATTGGAGTAGACAGGAATTAAATTCAGCACCATGGAGACTGCTTTGTTCTATGTATGACGAGATCAAACTGTTGCCCAAAGACAGAAATTGAAAGGGAAACACTTGAGCCAGTGATTCTAATTAACATGGACAGGAGCATTGTTATGTTGTGGGGTAATTCTTCATTTTGTTGTGAAATAAAATCCTCTACTTCAAAAACTTGAAATTATAAGGAACTATATTTTTGGTGTCTAGTTAAGCTATTGAAGCAATATTCCTATTGTAAAGAAAAGGTCTTATTTGTTTTTCAGTAAAGTTGCTCCACTGTAACTAAACATTTTCTTGAAGAAACAAAACTGTTTCACATTAAACGTACTTAGGCATCACTCTCTCTCCCTCTCTCTCTGTCTCTGTATATATATATGTACACGTATGTACACACACATATATGAGCATCTTTGGAGAAATAGAGTAGTATTTTGCATTTATTGTGTGATCTTCAGTAAGGAAATTCTTGCTGAAAATTTGAACTTAATTATAAACTGTTTCTTAATTTATAAATATAAATTAAATAGGAAGTTAGCTACTTTTTTTGTTACTTTGACTTTTCCATTTTCAATTTAGGTGATACAGTAGTATACCAACATGGAATAGCTACAGTCGTAATTGAAGCAAATGATGACCCAAATGGTGTTTTTTCTCTAGAGCCTATAGACAAAGCAGTAGAAGAAGGAAAGACTAATACATTTTGGTAAGTATATTTGAATAAAGCAAATTCAAAATTGGATAAAATAAAATAAAATAATTAACTGTAAGAAATTTGAAATACTGTTAATCTTTCACAATTAAAAAAATTGTTCAAGGGGCCGGCCCGATGGCGCACTGGATAAGTGCGCCGCTTGGGAAGTGCGGCGGTGCTCCCGCCCAAGGGTTCGGATCCCACATACGGACCGGTTCCCGCTCACTGGCTGAGCGAGGCGCAGGGGCAACACCGAGGGTTGCGATCCCGTTGCCAGTCCCCGGTCCGGTGCGGGGGCGACACTGAGGGTTGTGATCCGTTGCCGGACACAGAAAAAGACAAAAGATAAAAAAAAAAAAAAAATTGTTCAAGAATTGAATAATTTCAACGTTGGCAGTCTGAATGAATGCTAAACTTTGTTTATGCTGTTGCCACTAGTCAAAAACAACAGCAACAACAATAAATACTTTAGCTGGTTGGCAGAAACTATTCTCTCCACCCTCCTCATCCCAACTTCATTTTATGTCAGGACTGAGAAACTTGAAATATCCAAGGTCTCCAGGAACTTTCTGTTGATATGACTACTCTTAGCCTATACTTTGCTTTTGAAAAACATTTGCTAGTTATTATCTTAATATTTTTTGATGGGGCTTAGGATTATCTTTCAGTTTGGACTTTGAAGACTAAGACTTGTAAGACTGCTCTTTATTATTTAAAGTTCTACCCCATTCTTCTCTTTCCATGAGATTCTTCATGATTGCTCAGTAGGACTGATTGGTTGGTTTATTTAAAGATGTTAAATAGAAAAAGTATATTTCTGAGATAACAAAGAAAGGTCTCATTAGAGTTATATTCACTACTTATAAATTTTCCATGAAAATTAATTTTCTTTAATTCGTTATATAGGATTTTGAGGCACCGAGGACACTTTGGCAATGTTTTTGTAGCTTGGAAGTTGTTTCAGAATGATTCTGCTTTGCAACCTGGACAGGAGTTCTATGAAACTTCAGGGACTGTTAACTTCATGGATGGAGAAGAAGCAAAACCAGTAACTCTTCATGCTTTTCCAGATAAAATTCCTGAATTCAATGAATTTTATATTCTAAAGCTTGTGAACATTTCAGGTGCTGTGTTTTTCCATCTCTTATTTTACTACCAAAATTTATATTTTATACTTAAATAATTAGAGCTGTATAGATAATGCAGTTGATGAGGAAATAAGTATTATCTTGTATGATTTTAAATGTCAAAATAGTGTACTTGATAGAAGTGTTTTTAAAGTTAATTTTGTGGCTTTAGCTTGGTACAGTTTTATGGATAGAGGCTTACATCCATCCTCAAACTTGTAAATAGGCTTTTCCCATACCAAATATATTGTTTCCAATAAAAAATTAATAGAAATTAGGAAGTATGGATTTCATGGTTGCTTAAAGCTTGGTCTTTGTGCCATAATTTAAATAATCAATTTGCTCATCACTTTTGGTTTTAGGTGCAGGAATTAAACCTATCTAGTTTATATACTCTTTTCAGGCTTGACTGATTATTAATAAAATTATGCTGAACCAATATTATTTGATAACATGCCCCTAAAAATGTGGTGAGAGCCATATGGTGAAACTACTGTTCATTGATAATGAGTAAATTGTTTTATCAGAAGTTGGTTTGTTAAATTTCTTTTTCTTCACCTTATACTAGAAAGTACTTCAAATTCTGGTTTCTCACTTATTGTAAATTTTCTTATTACAGGTGGGTTCCCAGGTCCTGGAGGCCAACTAGCAGAAACCAACCTCCAGGTGACAGTAATGATTCCATTCAATGATGATCCTTTTGGAGTTTTCATCTTGGATCCAGAGTGTTTAGAGAGAGAAGTGGCAGAAGATGTCCTCTCAGAAGATGATGTGTCTTATATTACCAGTTTCACCATTTTGAGGCAACAGGGTGTCTTTGGTGATGTACGAGTAGGCTGGGAAATACTGTCCAGTGAGTTCACTGCTGGTTTGCCACCAATGATAGATTTTTTACTGGTTGGAATTTTCCCCAGCACTGTGCATTTACAACCACACATGCGGCGTCACCATAGTGGAACAGATGCTTTGTACTTCAGTGGACGAGAGGGTGCATTTGGGACTGTTAATCCAAAATATCATCCCTCCAGGAATAACACAATTGCCAAATTTACATTTTCAGCTTGGGTAATGCCTAATGCCAATACAAATGGATTTGTTATAGCAAAGGATGATGGTAATGCGAGCATCTACTATGGGGTAAAAATTCAAACAAATGAATCTCATGTGACACTTTCCCTTCATTACAAAACGTTGGGTTCCAATGCTACGTACATTGCCAAGACAACAGTCATGAAATATTTAGAAGAAAGTGTTTGGCTTCATCTCCTAATTATCCTGGATGATGGTATAATTGAATTCTACCTGGATGGAAATGCAGTGCCCAGAGGAATCAAGAGTCTAAAAGGAGAAGCCATTACTGATGGTGAGTGTCATCTTCACAACTAGGACATTAAAATTTGAAGTTCCTAAAATTCTGAATTAAAATTTTGAATCTTTATAAAAGCTAACAGGTATTTAAAACTCTACTTTTGTTCTTTTTTTCTTGAAACATAATTGATTATATGTATTTGTGAGATACAGAGTTGAATATCAATACTTCTGTGCAATATGTGATGATTAAATAAGGATAATTAGTATATTCATCATTACACAATGTAATCATTCTTTGTGACCCTTTACCAATTTCTTGCTAACTCTCCCTTCCCCTCCCCCTTCTCACCTCTGGTAACCTCAGTTCTATTCTCTCCTTTTGAAAGTCCAGTGTATTATTGTGACTGTATATCTTTCTTTCTTTTTTTATTCACTTGTTTATTTTTTAGCTCCCACTTATGAGTGAGGACATGCAGTATTTCTCTTTCTGAGCCTGGCTTGTTAAGTGACTACCAAGACCATGATGAATTCTGTGCTGAGTGTTGCAGAAATGAATCAGGCATAGTTTTTTGCTGGTGAGGAACCTGGAATAGGCTCTAGGAGAGAGATGTGCAAACAGATCACTATAATACATTGTAGGAAGAAAGAGAAGAAACTATGAAGGAGGAACAGTTACCTGTCTTGCAAGTAGTAGTAAGGATGGGGAATGATATTCCAGGCAAAGGCATGAACAAAGGTATAGAAATGTGGAACAGTGTATTGTACCTGGGGAACTGCCGCTAGTTCATTATTGCTGGAGGTGGAGGGTGCTGGGTGTAAGGTTGAAAAGGACTCAGGAGAGAAAAATCACATTTAAAAAAATGATTGTGGATTTTATAGTATCAGGAGGTAAATTGATGAACTCTGTGGAGTGCTTTGAAGAGATAATCTTCGTTGTCTTTAAGCTGGATCATGTGCTATTTCCTTAATCATGGTTACCTCCATTATACTCACCGGTTCCCTCCCAGTCTCTCCATCCTGGGATTTGATTCTGTTTTATGTTTAGGAAGAAGCTAGAGTAGAACTTATATGGCTATAGCTTAATAGAGTATTTTCCTTCTGAACCTCCGGCATTAGATATTTGGTTGTATTTTTTTTCCACCAGAAAAAAAGATGGGCAAAAGGAACAACATGCACATATCTACCAGTTTCAACCCTAAGGAATGTGCTTACAGCACTCTGTGGAGTTAAATTATTCACCTTCTAACTGTGTGAATACATACATGTATCTGTTAACCTTGACTCCTTTGGTGGTGGTAATGGTTGTAGAATGAGAATGGAAAAGACTGGGGAAGCAAAAGCTGGTGTTTCTTTTCTCTGTTTGGCTGACTGCAAGGAACTTACATTATTTTTGTGTTTTGTAACTTGTAAAGAAAATTTTTTAAGTGTATATATGTTTAAAAGTTACTAATTAAACATAGTATATGTTATATTCTAAAATATATAAAGTGTACATATTGTTAACTGTACAGATAGATGAATTGCTTAAACTTAAAATTAATCAGTATCAGCACCCATGTAACCAGCCTCCAGATCAAGAGACAGAGCATTCCAGAAGCCGCCTTTGGCTCTTTTCCAGTAGCTAACTCACCACTCTGTCCACCTGTGATTGGTATTTTCATGAGCTTACAATCAGCTTTTCCCATTTTTAAATTGATGTAAGTAGAATTGAGCAGAATGTACTATTGAGTATCTGGATTCTTTTGCTCAGTACTGTTTATGAGCCTTATCCATATTTTTGCCTGTTGCAGATATTTCACACACATTACTATATGGAATTCCATTGTATAACTGTTGCACAATTTATTCATGCTACTTTAAATTTCTGTTTGGATTGTTTCCAATTTTTGGCTATTACATATAGTTCTTCTATGAATATTCTTATACAGGTTTTTTGATGAACATATGTCTGCTGTCTGCATTTCTGTTGGGTGCATTCCTGGGATGGTATTGCCAAATCAGAGTGTGTGAATATATTCAGTTTTAGTAGGTACTGCCTAACAGTATTTCAAAATAGTTGAACCTATTTATATTCTCACCTCTGGTGTATGAGAGTTCCACTTCATTAACATTTGGCTTTTTCTATCTTTAATTTTACCATTTTGGAAGGTTTGTAATGGTATCTGTGCTTTCAAAAAGGTGTATTTTTAGAGAAATAATTGTATGGTCAATATAGAAAAAATTTAAAGTACACATATAAAACAAAAATAAAAATTGTTCATACTACTACAATTCAGAGGTAAGCACTGTGAACATTTTGTACTGTTAAAATGTTTTACGTACAAGCAATATATATTTTACTATTTTCTCCTTTATTGTCAAAGTAATACATATGTATTCCATGAAATCTGAGAAATATAGAATAGTATTAAACTGCAAAGTGAGTTACCATATTCCCTCAATTCTTAAGGAACCACTATGACATATTGGTGTCTTTATAACTTTTATTTTGAATGATTTAGCATTGCTACTTAAGTAGTTAACACTAAAATTAGAGAAATATGATCATGTTTGTTCTAGAGAATTAGTCATAGAAGCAGAGAGCTTAGAATGCCTCAAATTTGCATAGTGTTTTACATTGATAAGGCATTTTCCATACATTGCCCAATTTGGACTTCACAATAATTCAGTGTGTTAAATATTTTA